AAGAGTGTTATTTACATACTTAAAATAGATTTAAGATTTACTTATCAATATACCACAAAACTCTAATACTACATTATGTATGAAATGATGAAAAATGTAATATTCATATCTTATTAATATTTATAGGTCGTTAATATTCATGGTAGAATTGAGCAGTTCCTGGAACCATAACAAGATTCCTCATAAGCACACAACTTAATCCATTACTATCTATTAATCGTCATGTTGCCAACTGAATTTCTAATAAGAGAAAATCCAAAGTGGCAGAAGTTAAACAGTGTTGACATTCATAATAGTTTTTTTTCTAATTTCCTTGTATATGATTGGAAAGCAAAAACACAATTACAAGGTTAAACTGTTAATACCTAGTTCTTATAAATAGATTCTGTATTGATGATAGCCTGGGTACCTTCAATTGAACCCAGGACATTAATAATAAAAATGTTTTTTTAAATATTGATCTTATGGTTTTACATAGTGCATTTATCAAGGACCTTGCATTTCACATTCATTCAGTCATTCATTGGATTAAACACCCGGTTTGTTTGGAATACATACTTAGCTCCAGAGTGAAGCATGCCATTATTAGTAATCAGCACACATTGACTATAAACTATTCTATCTATTATTCTATGTACATTTTTTTTATATAAATAATCATATTTTGATGATGAGATAAAAGTCATAACATCATCATTAAATAGAATTTAGTCAAATGATCTTCTCTCATTTGTTTTGTTACACACAATCACTTTTAAACTTCAACCATGTATTCCTAATTTATTCTAAATTACCTAGTTGCATTTCTGAAATAAAAGATTTTCATAATTACTGTAGGCTACTGTAATTATTTAATTCCCCTTGTTTGGAAGATAAAGTAGTTTGTATCGGTAAGGTATCTCAAAGAGGCACAAAGTTTAATGAACTAACACAAAATAACAAGAATTTAATTTAAAAATATGAAAATATAAAGTACAACAGGCAAGATCATTTAGTGTTCTTACAAAGAAGTAATTATGGAATCACTGTCCATTTCTTATTTTAAACTGCCTATTGTTGCATGTTCTCATTTCATTTCCTGTGCCGATTAAATGCAAGTAACTATTCCCATAGAATGTAATCCACAACTTAAAGCAAGTGTCCGTCCACTTCCCTTGTCCCTGACCAATACATATTCACGCAATTTAAACACCTTATATAATATGTCCCTGACTGATACAAAACCTTCCTTCTCATCTGTATGGTAAAAATGGCCTTGAAAAAATTGCCCAGTAAAAAGGGTCCCAAATGATAGGTAGGATAAAATGGTCCCAAAGATAAATATTTTTTAATCTTTTCCCAACTATTTAAATGCCAAAAAAATAGCAAAAATTTAATAAATAAATCAACATCAATCATGACATATTGTTATATAATTATATTATTATAGATACAGTGCACCCTCCATCTCGAGACCCCTCTAATTCCGAGACCACTCTAAATCGAGACCACTTTTCCAAAGACACAAAAAACAATCTTCATCCTTTTAACACAAAGCTAGCCCTCTAATTGGAGACCAACCCTGAGACCACCACAAATTTTCAGGTCCCAAAAGGGATCTTGAATTGGAGGGCAAACTATATAATTATGATTGCATAACTTCAATATTATCTTACAACACTCTGTTATTTGTTATATTAGTACTATTATTTCAAAATATGCCATTTATGGTGAGCTATTTAATAGTTATTGAATTTTATTTTGAATTTCTAAATTCATATTTGAGTTGGGAGAAATTTGATTTCCAAATGAAGTTCCCTACTCTTCATAACCCATTGTGAAAAACACACTGTATTACATAAAACTGAAAATGAACTGTGAATCTGGTCTTGACCATCTATGAGAACAGTAAACTATTATTAGATAAAGCATGTGATCAAGGAATTAGAACCAGTTTAAACTGGTCAAGGCAGAGGTCAATGGCATCAACAATGGACACTGGTCAGCAGGTTGCGCTGCCCACACACAAGTTTACTGTTCCAGAAACACGATAATAACAAGGCATGATTTCTAACCAGCCGCAATTTCAATCGTTTCTGCATAATTAAAGATACTTAAGCACCAAGCTGTGAACAGATGGATTCATTTTCAATAGCTAGAAACTACAAACTAAAACCTACTCAAATGCATTCATTTTGTTTCATTTATAAACAGATATGAAGAAAATGTACAAGGCCAAATTTGTGTTTATATTAATTTTTCTACTTTTATTTATATGGCCTTTCACGGCTTTGATGAAAAATACCCTTGGGTGAATCAAGTTATCCGTGTTGAAATAAAGTATTTATTATTATTATATTATTATATAAAATATTATTATTAATACCACTGGACAGGGAGTATTCAAGAAAAAGATAAGAAATATAACTGAAAATAAAATTAAACATGATAATATACTTTTAAATTAAGCAGTAAATGGTTTTATATCTTGAAATAGGACCACATTGCTGTAAGTATCTCTCTACTACTGTACTTAGACATTCATATACACTTTTTTTTTTATAAGAACCAGTAAAATTTTGCCCAGACTCAGTGTTCTAATTTTTTGGCCGATTTCAAGCTCAAAATGTTCTTATTTTGTTCTTATTTAACACAATTTTCAAACATACTTTGCAAATTATTATTGTACAGCAGTATACACTGTACTGGAATATAGGGACAGTGGCCCCAGAAAAAAAGTGCTACATAGGTACTGTTTATGTAAATCTATGAAAGTATTTTTGAGGCGCCATCTGTTCACTTATTAATATTTAGCAAAAAAATGACATGGTTTTTTACGTTATATATTTATATAATATTTTATATAATATATAATATTTTATATAATATATATTTTATATAATATATAAAATATTATATATTATATACAAATTTATATTATATAAAATATTATATATTATATACAAATTTATATATTATATAAAATATATATATTATATAAAAACTTATATATTATATAAAAAATTATATAAATATATAAAATATTATATCACATAAAAAGTATATATTAAATAAAAAATTATATAAATATATAACGAGAATACCAATGACTATGAACACTTGGCGTGCGCTAAGTGTTCGTTTATTATTTAGCAAAAGTTCTTGATGTGTCTGACCATTCTTCCATGATACAGATTCTTAAACTAGGCTGGGTAGCAACTGATAAGACCTTTGTCTACTGTAGCTGTTATTTATCTTTTAGTTATAACATAACATTGAGCCACACCTACGAATACTTTACACACAGATTCCTTTAAAATGTGACATTACTTGACATCACAATCCCTATTTAATGTTATTTACATGCCCGGCCCAACACTAAAAAATGGATGGCAAAATGCTTAAAAACCACTGATTGCCTTAAATTAAATCTTAATTGGTTGACAATTTTCACACCTAGCCAAGTGATATACCAGAAGCAAATCAAAACATGTTTAGCACTTTACACTTCAAATTATTTTTTTCTTGCAAAGGAGTACAAGTAAGTGGAAATCAATTTTATATTTGTTTTTGTTTTATGAAACCCTCACTGTTAAAAATTAATAGAAAATTAAATAAAATTAATAATTTACAAACGTAACAGTAGCCTTTTATTTATTTATGAAATATTATATATTATATATTGTATAAAATATTATATAAATATCTAACGTAAAAAAACCATGTCAGAACGCTGATGTGAGATTACATATTAATACATATTATTAGTTAACTGTCAGAACAAATTAGCACTGCAAAATCATGCTATGTAAATCATCAGTACACATCAATCTACGGTATTCCACACAAGTATTAGCATTTCAATCTTATCTTGACAGGTGGCAATTTGTCATTAATAAATTGAACTATTATTCTACTGAAAATATACGCACAATAAATGCTACAGTGTTTATATTGTGCAGAATGACCTGCACACTGTAGGTGTAGAATCATTTTAACATCAATTGTGAGGTCAACCTTAGCATAGGGCTTGGTTTTTCCTTAGTTTTTTCATTTGACCTGGTCAGTTCAAAAAACCTTAGATCAGGGTTTGGCAAAGTAGGTTTCCATGGTTGAGCTTTGGTCAAGTCAGGCCTTGGCTCCCAGTTTGACTATTTATTTATTCAAGAGTATTTCAATAGGGTTTGGTTTGGGTCAGATCAATACTAAGATTAGAATTAACAACCAGCAGGTCCATAATTTTCTCTGGGGTCAAATCAACTCTAATTCACCATCTGACTAGGCTAGTAATTTGACAAAAAATTAATATTCGTAACTGGGTTTTGACTAATGCTATAGTTTGGCTTGGGCCTGACGAGCCCTTCAATCACCGTTTGACTATAGCTCAATTTTGCTTGGGCTATGTCAAACATTGGATCACGGTTTGACTAAGCTTATTTATTTATCCAACTTTTCCACTGGTGGTAGAATAACAAAAATATATTTAGTGTGGGTCATGGTTTTGCTTGGCTAAGGTCAACCCTTAGATCAAGATCTAGCTAGGCTCATGATTGGGGTGGTTCAAGTCAAGCGTTAGGTGGGTGGGCGATTGTTTGGTTGGGCCAGGGTGACACTTCATTAGACTTGGGGTAGGCCTACAGTGTGTGAATAATAATGTTTAAGGAAGTTTCAGTAACGAGTTTATAAGATTATTCAAAATCTATTACCATTTAAACTAAACAAATAAAATAAAGAAAACCATCCTGGGTACCTTTTCTCAATGCAAATAAAATACAATCTATCAAACTACTGTACAGGGAGGATTACAAAAGTACTAGGCATTTCATAATGGAATGTAGCAGACTTATCACTGAGACCTGTAAGCTATTTGGAAGACAGATTCAGAGTCTCACTGCTTCCATATGAACAGATCAGACCTTCAATAGATTGTTATTTTCTGGGGAACTTAAAAAAGAAATAAAGGCATCAGCATAAGCAAAGGATAAAGGTAGGTTAAAAAAAACCAAAATATTACAACTTACGTAGATCTGTTATGATATACTTTGTTGTATTGGCTTTGATGAGTATTGGGCCTGCCCGCACCCCATCCACACTGTAGTAAGAGATCTTATAACCCACAATGGCACCTTCAACAGGCTTCCACTCTACTAAGATTGTAGACTGATTAACAAATGTCGTTTTCATATCTGGGGCGGTAATATCACCTGAAAGGAAACAATACTTATTATAATCAATTATTAATCATTCAATAATTGCTATAATAATTTCTTTACTTATCAGAGATTAATTGAATACTAATATTATATTTGGCACCTTGATACATGTTTCGATTGATGTATTATAAATTTCTTTAAAAAAAAATATATATTTATCACAATAAATATTATTACAGTATTTTAATTATCTTGATACAATACCCACAAAATAAGATGTTTTTAAGGATGGTTCAGTAAAGAGTTTATAAGACAATTTAAATTGCAATTTTTTTAAGTCCATTACCATACATAAAACTAGCCAGCTGTCGAATTCATAATCAACATCTAATTACCTAACCTTTTACATTATGTGGGGGGAAAAGTTACAGAAGTGTAATCTTAAGTGAATAAGGAGTTCTGACAGATTTAATTTATGAATACAAAAATAATGATTTAATTTTTAGTATCTGAATTAAGTGTTTTTGGGGGGTTTTTTTGTAAATTTTAATTTGTTGCAAGGTACTGTACCTCAAAAAATCAGAGGCTACCTGTACAGGAAGGTAAAACAAAACATAAATTTAACCTGGGCCCCAATGACCAAATCAGCTCCAAGCGATTCCCGAAGAGTTGACAGTAGCATACTTTATACACAGATATGCAAGCAAACAAATCTGACATTTCAGATGTGTAATTTATTCCTGTATTATTTACATAGACCCTTACATTGTCCAGCAATCAATTTAACAAATTTTAGTGTAGTGTATTAGTGAAAACTAAATTATTTAATCTGTCTTGTATCAATATTTTCTTGTAATCAGTTTTTCTAAATTAGGAATGTTTTGTATCAACTATTAAAAAAAATACCATTATAAATAAATGTTTGGTGTTTATTTTTTATGGTTTAATTGTGTTCAATATCTCCTGATATTCTGTGGTTAAAATATTAGATGGTCTGAGTTTTTGTCCAAGGTTTGTGTCATCTAAATAGCCTTACTACTTTTCTACTTTCTCATTAAAACGCTTTTCAGGAAATTAAACACCTCGATTCTTAGAATTTCAGCGAATTAATTAATTGAGCCCCCAAGTAAAGAACGGTCAGTCCATCAATCACCAGAGATGAACTCACCAGAGCTGGCGCCTGACATGAGAGTTCTCTGTTTCGTCCATCCTGACCATGGCCCGTTGCCAACGACAGTGGCCGCTGACATACGTACTTCATATTCCCATCCAGGTCGCAAGCTATTAATGACTGTTCTGTTTTTGTTGCCGTTCACTATGACCTCGTTGGATGTTTTGTTGCCGTACAGCCTATACTGGATGTTGTAACGGATGATGTTGCCGTTCGCATACTCCAGTGCCATCTTCTGCCATTTAACATCAAGGCTGCCAATAGCGTTACTTGCTAATGAAAATGTTACCACATTGGTTGGCTCTGTTGAAATAAAAATAATTATGCACACAAAGCTTTGAAAAAAAATACTGTCAAACTATAATTTAACATTAAAATAGTCAAAACTATGAAAATAATTAAAGAAAAAATAAAAATTATTTATTTTTTTTATTTATCTATTTATTGCAGTATAAAAAAAAACAGACTTGCATCAATCCCAAAGGGCAAACCTGTGAGCTTATAATCAAAATACAATAAACAAGAAACATATAGAAAGACAAACAAATAAAAAGCCATTAAAATAAGAAAAACTGATATTAATAAGTTAACAATAGAATTAAGTCATTACATAATCATAATTCCACAAAGCATTATATAAGAAGGAAGTCCAGCCATTAAATTCTTGCAATTAAACCAAATATATGCCAAAATAACATGAATGAAATCGTGACATATACTGTAAATCAACTAGTAAGTCCTACACTATAACAATGATTATTAAATGTTCTATACAATTCTTAAGATCCTTACTTAACAATTTGTTAGGATAATTATTAAGAGATTATTAATATTAATTCATTACCTAAATATATTTACTAATTAAAATTCACAGATTCAATAGATTGCACATAAATATCAAATTAAAAACTATAAAAAGAATTCATTATTTAGATATATTTACAAATTAGAAAGAAAATAGCTATTATTTCAAAATAAGAAAATCATTATTTGAACATTCAAAAAATTTGGGTTTGAATTTCTACAACTAAATTTTCTATCTTTTACACAAGGTTTTTTCAGCTAAATGTTCCCACAAAATATTTGTTTTTGCTTTAATATTCAATTCAAAGATGATAACAAATACTGAACATTATAATAATATACTATCATTATTAAATTTATATATATTTTACATTATAAAAATAATTAAATAACAAATTATTGGCTCATATAAGATTTCCACCACATATAATATTAGCTTACTACGTGAATACCTTTAAGACAAAGCATTTGAATGGTGTTAAACACAATAAACTGATTACTTACTATCTGGTAGGGTTAGAGCATAGATGTACTCAGATGGATCACTGCTACCTTTTGAATTGAATACTGAGATATAGATTGTATAATTGGTAAATGGACTAAGTTTGTCCAGAACATGAGAAGTTGGTAACTTTGCTATTTCTGTCAGATGCTTCCCCTCTACAAAGAAACATGGTAATAAAATAAAATACAATCAATAAATCAAAAACAGTTTAATAATGGATGTCATATATGTTTATTATAATAAGCAAATAAAAATATATCACTTTATTTAAACAATTATTAAATATGTTTTAATTACAATATAGGCCTATTAAAATCTATTTGGTCCATACAAAAAAAATTATTACGTAATTCTCTTCAATTATTATTATCCGAACAATTTTGGCAAAGACGAATGGCTGAGTGGTCAAAACAGGGGCGCTGCAACCTACAGCCATAATATTGGAGCTGGTTCGAACAGCAGGCTCGCCTATGGTTCTGGTGGTGCAACAAGTCTTTCTCAAATAAGGTCTCTAAACTGTAGTCCCAGTGTATACAATTGGCTTGTGTGCACTTTAAAAAACCCAGCACATCCTTCAAGATGAGTAGGGGTTTCCCCAGTGTACTGGTCCATTCAACCCAGGTCATTGTGGACGGACAAAAGTGCACCTCTTGGCAGCTTATTGGACATGATGTGACTCAGGTTATTTTCCACCTTCACCTTTTCAATAATATTTACATTAGTTATTTCTAATACTTCAATAAACTTTTTTAGACCTTGTACAGTAGGTCATACTCCCTCACCATGTGTCTTTTGGTAATGAATGATGTAGTCCATAAAGTCTCCAGCAACTTGGACAGATGAACGCTTCCAGGTCACTAGAAATTTGTGCGGGTCACTTGGTACCACTTGCACGTCATAAGGAGGTAGTGGACGTCCAGGCTCTAACAAATCATAAACAATGCAACATATATTGTAATAATGTATTGTGTATTCAATGACAGTATATGAAGCTTGGCCATCCCAAAACCAGCGTACTGTCACTAAATGTTAAACTGAGTAATTAACATAAGGATGTTGCAGTATTATTTTTGTACAGAGAAGCTGTAATACAGTACTTTTACTCATAACTTTGGCAAATTATTAAGTTGATTCCTGCAAATGACCTACACCCAATCACAAAGACAATAATTTGAGGTTTTGTTTCAGGATATTAGCAATGACTACTATATCACTACTTTACAAAGAAGCTCTTGTACTTACTCATAAAACCAATGAATGCATATAAAATATTTTAATGTGTTAAAAACATTTACAAAATTAATAACGTAATTAAAAAGCAATGAAAGACTGAAGAACCCATAAAGAGAAACAAAAACAAATCAAATTTATTTAAATGATTTACAAATGTTTTAGTTACAATGTGCTGACACACATAAGGATATGTAAAGAGTAAGAATAGTATTATTTGGTAAGGAAATATATTAAGTAATGTGTTATTAACTTTTTGTTTCACAGGAGAGAAACTGTAGATTAAAGCTACGTTCACATGGGATCCAAACCGAAATTCAGGCCGCATTTCCAATGCGCTAATGTCAGCGTCCCTATTCTTACATGCTGACTCGATTTTCTAATCAGTTAAGAAAGCCTTCCGGTCCAAAATTCCGAATTCAGTGTGAATCCAGCTTTAAGTGTTATACTAATTGTTGTACATTATTAATATGAATATAAATTATATACTCACTAATCTTGAACCTGACCAGGGTAGCTGCTTGTGTACTGCCAACCTGGTTCTCTGCAAAACACTGATAGATTCCACTGTCTTTAATCTGTGTTGATAATATTACAAGCTGACCAGGGTCCGTGGCATCAAATCTTCCAAACAATGCGATAGGTACGCCATTTTTATACCATGTAACAGTCGGTTTTGGAATACCTAACGCTCTGCAATTAAGACGTACTGTTCGCCCAAGGATGCTGTTGATATCTTCCGGTGGTTGTTCAATAATTGGCGGTGCTAAATTTGAAAAAGAAATGACCAAAAGAATAACATTTATTCAACACCTTACATACAGTAGTTAACAGAACAGTGGTTGGGAGCAGCTAAAAACAATCATTTTTAACAACTCTGAGATTCAGCATCTAGCTTTTTGCAAAATTTGTCATTACAGAATTATAAACAGGTCTTTATAATTGGTGAGAAGGAACATGGTCTGGATTTATCAATCTGTCAGGGATAAAAAACCAGAGCCTTGCAGGCGTCAACGTTCCTATGCATGATACACAACTTTTAGAAGTATATATACGTGTAA